GTGGGGGGGGGGGGCGCGCGGGGAGCCATTATAAATCCTGCACGGAATGGAAACGCTTCCAGCCAGGCTGGGGGCACGGCCGCTTCCCAAGTTCCAGCACATCCTTCCCTCCCCCAACCTCAGCTTCCCCATCACCTTCCCCAGCTCCCCACTCCGTAGTCAGCTACACAGCAGCTGTCCAATTCCCCCCCTTCCCTGGGCGGGGGGAGTCTGGCAGAAACAGGCGAGCCCTGGGCTGACTAGCTGCTCCGGGCCTCTCCCGGGCTGGGCTGAATGGAGAGGGGGTTTCTCTGGGCCTGGCTCTCCCTTGGTCCCTCCTGGGTTTGGGGGGAGCCACCTGACAGGCAGGGGTGGGGCTAAGGGCCCTGATGATGCTGTACAGAAGTGGCCACTAGGTGGGAGTGTTGCACAGCTCCCGCCAGGTGCAGCCTGGTGCAGGGAGACCAAGCATGGGGAGGGCGGGGAGGAAGGTGTTTTCCTGCCACAAGCAGCAAAAGCCCAGGTAGCAGGTGGGGCAGCCCTACCGGCCAGGCGTGCGGGCTCTGATGGCAAAGCAGCAGGGGCCACAGGCCTGCAGGGCCAAGAGGAGATTCCATCAGTCTAATGGGTCTACAGCCGCTGCCGCGTTAGCTTTCATCTGCGCCCCCCAGTTCACGCCGGCCTTCCCCTCCCAGGCCTCTGGATCGGCTTACTGATCAGCGCCATCATCCCGTCCTGCTGCTCCGTCATCTACATCGGGCGGCTCAACTGGGACAAGGTCTCCGAGGAGGTAACCAGCTTTCCGGGTGTGCACTGCAGGTCGGACCTGGCACGTGGACACATGAGGGGCAGGGGATGCTGGAGCCGAGCCATCAGCGCCACCTCTCGGGCTCCTCAATAGCTATGCCGGAGACTGCCGCAGCGCGCTCGGGGCAGGCCCTGGGGGAGGGTGTCTGCCCCGTGCTGCTGCCATTTGAGCCATTCTTGGTGTTAGCTGACACTACAGAGTGTTAAAAATAACAAAGAGCTGGCTCACACCCAGCACTGCGCGTCTCCCTCCTGCATACCCAGTGACCCGGCTTTAGGAGTCTCCCAGTCGTTCTCAAAGCCTTGCCCTGTCCCCAGGGCCGGGAGCCAGCTGCCAAGTGCTTCCATGGTGCCACAGCACATGGCCTGTAGCGTGAAAACTTTTAGCTATTTTGGTTTAATGCCAGGGGCCTGTGTAGCCAGAGATTCTATTAATGATTTGGGCTCCTGGTAGTTTTTCCTACCTACTTAAAAGCAGTTCTGGTCACTTGCAGCTTCTTGGTTCCTCGCTGGGGGTATGTTTACACTAGAGTCTTATCGGAAAAATGGCCGTTTTTCCAACAAAACCTGAGTTACGTCCACACTGCAATCGCGTTCTTCCGAAAGTAAATCGAAAGACCAGAGGGGGTTTTCCGGCGTCAGCAATCCTCTTTCTACGAGGAAGAAGCCTTTTTGCCAAAGAGCGCTTTTGGAAAAAGGCATGTGTGGATGGGGAAGAGGGAGTTCTTTCAAAAGAAGAGGAAAGAGGAAAAAGCACAGGTGCTCTGGTGGCCGTTCCGTCCATAGCAATCACAGCTTAAATGCGAGAGCGTCCAATCAGTCTGGACACTATCTTTTGAAAAAACAGATCGCTTTTTTGATGCGCTTGTGTGTGTGGATGCTCTTTTTTGGAAGATCTCTTCCGAAAAAAGATTCTTCTGAAAGAAGCCTGCAGTCTAGACCTAGCCAGGGTTTTGATGCCCATTCTGACAGAGCTCTTGAGCAAACCAGTTTAGCTAAAACACACACAACCTACAGCTCAGCTCTTGGATACTCTGTGGGCTGTAACTGCTTGCTGGGGTCGTCCTTTAGTCACAACAGCTTCATTTTCCTGTAACACCGCTCTCACGTCTGGGTGTTTGTCACTCCTGCGACATCCTACGGATCTGAAACGCGCCAGTAAAACTAGCTCTATACGGTCACAGCTCCCGCCTGCTGCGTACAACACAGATCATCTGAATTCAGTGCATTTCTGTTCCTAGGCACGGCAACGGGCGGGGGTGAGCCAGCTGGCCGGCGAGGATTTGAACTCCGCTCCTGTCCCATGCAAGCTGGTGCTTGCCTCGAGTAAGAACAAGTTTGATTTGCTATCGGCCAATTGTTTTGACCTGCAGATGGTTGGGTAGCACTTCTCATCCCCCCTCATTAACGCAAGTGCTGCACAGTAGATAGCGGGTACTTGAATAGTTGTGTAACTGCACGACATCTTTGCAGTTACACAACCATTTGCTGGTGCTCAGGGGCAGGGCTGGCAGCCAGTGCGCTCCCGGGAGCCCCCTGCTACCGCCCATCGGCCAATTGTTTTGACCTGCAGATGGTTGGGTAGCACTTCTCATCCCCCCTCATTAACGCAAGTGCTGCACAGTAGATAGCGGGTACTTGAATAGTTGTGTAACTGCACGACATCTTTGCAGTTACACAACCATTTGCTGGTGCTCAGGGGCAGGGCTGGCAGCCAGTGCGCTCCCGGGAGCCCCCTGCTACCGCCCCTGTATCCGCAGCAGGGGAAGGGGGAATTGGGGAGCTCAGACCCCCTGCGGACAGGGGCTGCCACCATGAAGCAGCCTCTGCCTGCGGTGGACCCAGGCCTGATGCAGACAGAGGCAGCCTCCTCCGTCCCTCTGATAGAGGCAGCAGCACCGTGGAGCTAGTGCTAGGGGGAACCAACTTTTAAGCCGGCTCCCTCCAGCACCAGCTCCTGCTTCCTCCTCGCTTGCTGCCTCTGACACAAAGGCAGCAAGGGGGGGGGGGGGGGGGAAAA